CGTGTATTAGCATGTTTTGCATGAGAATGAACGACCAACCCAGCCTGAATATCAATTGCCAGGACTCTGAAACTCAGCTGCCTTTGAGATGTTCCTTTGTGTGATTTACTTACCTCCCTGACTCAGTGTTATTTCCAGGCCCTGGTCCTGAGACACACAGTCCTTCATCTTACTGACATGTTTCTTCTGTCTCTGGATCTGCTATCACCATTTATGTTGACCTTCAAAGAACAAAAACGGGATGTGCAGAGACATCTACACATACCCACAACACAGACACATGTACACAGCACATATAACTGCACATATGACATACAACAAAATACAGGCACGTTTACATGGCACACACAACTACACACATGTACAGTATATACAACAAAAGCAGGTATGTACAGCATACACACATGCACACATCTACAGACACACACCTACACATATGTACAACACACACACACCTAGTATATATAACTACACACATACTCATCTGTGTATGTCTACACTCATACATAACACAGTGTGCCACATATATACTCATTGTCTGCATTATCTACAAAATAGTCTCTTGGAGCTTGTTAGAAATGTAACTGGAGTTTCAGGCCGGAGGACCAACTGCAGGGGTTCCAATGTGTCAGGTCTGTCACTCGCCCGAGTATACCAAATAAAGAGACAAGTGGTGGTGAAGAACAGATAAAGGAGATTTATTACTTGGCACAGGCACATCCATTGTCAGGGTATATAAATGAGGTTTAGGTTTAAAATAGAGGAAGAATTGGGGCTGGAGGGTAAGAGATATGCTTGATAAAACAGGGCAAAGTGTGTTTTATTATATCAGTTCTGGTTCTGCAAGGGGCTCTGAAGAAGTTGTCACTTCAGGGGAGCAGTCTGGTTCCTGTGAGATGATAATTTCTGCTCCAGGGTGCAGCCTCACCAGTCTATGTAATTGTCCTCATTTAAGGAGTGGTCTGCCTGTGAGTTTCTGTAATTCCTTCCTTGTCATGAAGATGTTATTGTTAGTATTGTCCTTCTTAAAACCCAAGGTGACTGGAGGAGAGAGACTCAGAGCAAGTGAGAGGAATGTAAAATGGAGGCAGGGATGCCAAGCTTTGCTCCTACTTTTAATTAACTTGAGGGCCCCGGTGAGGAGTCGGTGTCTTTAGGAAAAACAGTTTCTAAGTACCTGTTGTAGAAACAGAGATTGGGGTATGATCCCAGCATAACCACATGTATAATGTGGTAACATTGTGGGAATATGTGTGTGATTCTGTGACCTGATTTTTCATGTGTCTGTATCTATGACATGATTTCCTGGATTCATATCACCTGGGACCATTAAAACTAGTTAGTGATTATACAACTTTGATTTTGCATGTTTGGGGTAGAGAGAGTCAAAAAAGGGACAGTCTTGGGGGGACAATCTTGGTTCAGAAACTGCTATGCCAGTGTAAGTCTAAACCGAGCCAAATGTTGGGGGGAGTGCTGTGTCCTTGACTTCTAGCATGAGAAGTGATTGTGTAGCATGCACTTTTCTTCCAGAGAACAGAGCCCTCAAGTCCTGCACAGGATGGCCTTTAATAATCCAGGAACAAGTCCTAGAGTCATTTGACCAGCAGAGGCACCAGGAACCAACCCAAAGCACAGTTTCTCAGCTGGTCCTTTTGGCTTTTTTTTTCTTCTGAGCCATTTTAGCCTTTTTTTGCTGAGCCATTATTTACCCCTCCCCATGGACAGATAGATCGGAATACTTCAGCATGAGATCAGAGGTTAGAAATCAGAGATTGCATTGCAAATAGACTTAATTTTAATCTGCATGCATCTAGGTGAACAAAGATAAGAGATTTTAGTATTTAAAAAACCCTGCAGCTCATTTAATTCTCTGTTTATATGTCACAGTGGCTGTTAAGTAACAGGTACCAGGTGCTTTTAGATGGGTCAATGAATGCTAAATTTCAGGAGTTTTAATAGGATGAAAAAAATTCCAGTGTACCTCAACTTTTTGAAATGAAATAAAATATTAAAATGAAATAGGGCAACATCTGACCTATGAACTTCAAAATATATGGTCAATTTGACAGCATCCTAATGTCATTCTGTGCTTGGTAACCAGACCACTGCCTAACTGGTTATTGACTTCTAAGCAATCACTGTTGTATTCAAGGGTTTGTGTGTGTGTGTGTGTGTGCGTGTGTGTGTGTGTGTGTGTGTGTGTGTGTGTGTGTGGTTTTGGTTTTGTTTATTTGTTTTTCTTTTTTTGACAGTACTGGGGCTTTAACTTGTCCTTGTACTTGCTATGCAAGTGCTCTACCACTTAAGTCACAGTACCATCCCATTTTGCTTTTGTTATTTTTCAAATAGGGTCTCATGCTTTTTGCCCTAGCCAGCCTTGGGCCAAGATCCTCTTACCTCCACCTCCCACTGCCCGGGATCACAGATGTTTACCACAACACCTGGCTCATTCTTTGAGACAGGGTCTCTCGATAACTGTTTTTGTCCAGACTGGTCTAAAACCAAGATCCTTCCAATCTCTGTCTCCTAAGTAGCTGGCATCACAGGCATTGGCCACCATGCCTGGCTTGTGTTATTTTGAGAAAACTTCAAACTAGAAGTTTTGTCACCAGGTAAGAGGGTGAAGGGATTCCTTAGATTCCCAGTTTCCATGCAAAATTCACAGGTACTTGAGATCCGCACATGTGAAAAAAATTTCAAGGTGTCTCACACACACACACAAAAGGATTCCATTTCCATGCAAAATTCACAGGTACTTGAGATCCGCACATGTGAAAAAAATTTCAAGGTGTCTCACACACACACACAGAAAGGAGGCTCTCACAAGGTAGAAGTTTTAGCAAGGATTCATTTTAGTTTAACAGGATAAAAGTAGGGAGAAAATCAAAGAGGAAAATGTACCTCCTGCTTGGAAATGATGAGTGAGAAACAAGCTAAAAAATGGCAGCTCTTTGAGTTTTACATGTTCTAGGCTGGGGAAATACACGTCATCAAGTGGCAGTCTACTAACCCCCAATTGTCAGAAAATGGTTCTGAGTGGGCAAGATGGGTGTGAAAACATGGAGATGTTGTCTAGGCCTACCCAAGATGCAGGAAAAATAGGTGAGTTTTAGGACTTCCTTTTGTGAGACATGCCTTTTATTCTGTTTCTATCCCTTCAAGGAGCCCTGCAGCTTAACATTTCAAAGAATGAAAGCAGCTGCAGATAGCCCCTCTGTCTCCCTACCCATGTAAGTTAACAACTAAAAGGAGGTCATGGGAGGGGAGCTTGCTGCTGTTTTTCAGTTTTTACTTCCTGGCTCTAATGTCTGAGTCTGGCCCTTTTAATATCTATTAATTTGAATTTCCCTGTTTCATCTGTTTATTCTGCCTCAGATTCTGTGTGTGTCTACCTTAATACTCATAAGGAACAGAACGTCCTTAACTTGGACTGAAATTTTTCTAAACTGTTATGTTGAGGTGGTTTTGTTACGGCTTATTTTCTAAACTTTTTAACCTCCTCTGAGCAGAGAACAAATGTGCCCTCTTTTGAGGCTCAGTGGAACATGAGTTGTCCTGCTCTCTTCAGACATGGAGGATTTTAGCATGTCCAGATGGCTCCAAGACAGAGTTCAGGGGCAGGCAATTCTTTGGGGCTTCAAGGTAGGCACTAGAATGATGCTCTTATACACTCAATATTGGTAGAAGTGGGGCTGTATTCTGCTTGTTAGTATCTCGGTGATATCTCTTACTGGTACTTATGCTTACTTACTGTCCTTGCTTGGGTCTTCTCTAAACAGTTCAGGTTTGGTTTTGGTGTGCTGGGTATCAAACCTAAGGCCGTCTACATGCTAGGCAAATGCTCTAACACTGAGCTACACTCCAGCCCTCAGAGGTTACTTTTAAATTGAAAATAGCTCCTTCCTTAAGATAAGAGATTTGTTTTATTACTCTGTTGTGTTGGGTTTGTGACAGTATGTTGGCAAAGGTAGAACAGACTGATTTGTTGCAAGTTTGACAATCCATGTGCTTTAGAAGTGGGAAGATTTACCAAGTCACAGATGCTTCCAAAAGAAGTAGCTGTTCTTTCTTATTGGTCATAATACACGACTGCGTTTACAAGTTTTCTGGCCCATCTTAGAAAGGTCTACCCTGTTCATATGGCAGTTTCCCATAAGCCACATAAAAATACTGCAACTTGAAGTAAATAGTTCAGAACATAGCTGTATCTGAGAAATTTTCACAAAAACATGGTTTGCTAAATTTTTTTAATTAAAAGAATGCAGTGATGTGTCTATGTGTGTTCATACCCAACCAGTGTGTCACATATGTAGTTTTAAGGCTCCATGAATCATATATAACATGCCAAAATACATGTTATGTTGTCTTGACATGCGTTAGGGATCATTGCTGAGTCAGGTGTAGCAATCAGGGCTGATTTTAGAAAACATATGGATTTAACTCCTTAAAGTGATTTAAGGGGATCTTTAAGATTCAGGTCTTCTTGCATGTAGGAAGAAGGTGTAAATTGGAATCCATGAGTAACTTTTATTCATTCTTCCTCTAGACAAGCAGATGCTCAGTGTTGGCAAGTCAGTCCAGCAACATCACAGGATCTACCAAATCAGAACCCACGGATCCTGTCCACATCATCTGAATCATCCCATACTCGGGAAGCCCCAGACCTGCCCCAGGAAGGTCGGGGCCGAGCAGGAACTCTACCTCGAGATTATAGGTACTCAGAGAACACAGCTTCAGACTTGAGACCCCAAGGCCAGCACACCCCTTTGCTTTCATGTACTCGAGCATGATTCATGGCCATTGAGCACACATCTGCTCCCCAAGAAGCTAGCCCTACAGAGGTCTCAACTGCCCAAACTTGAGCTCAGGAAGTACAGGGGCTCTGACAGTACACTTGCAGACTCTCACCTGCCTGGGCCTGGCAAACCCTTCCCAGCATCATCATCATTTCCCATGTCCCTGAATGTATGTGTGACCATCTTGTCCCTCTCCCACAGCCCTTCTGTGTTCAGCAATGCCCAGCACCAAGACAGCCAGCATGTGAATGAGGACACGTCCTGTCTTAAGCCAGAAGCACTGCTCCCTTCCAAGGTCGGGCACCTGCAGACATCCTCCATGGAAACCTCTCGCTCCCCTTCCCCTCAGTTCGCTCCACAGAAGCTGACGGACAAGCCTCCTCTGCTTATCCAAGATGATAATTCAACAAGGTACTGCTTTTGTCAGTGTGTGTGTGTGTGTGTATCACTTGTTCATCTCATAAGATGCCTTCTGTAGGCACAGGCTTCAGTGTTTTCAACTGTTGCTTCAGCTAGAGACACTGGATTTAAAGTTGGTCCTGGGAAATTACCTGGAGGAGAAGCCACGGCTGCAGGGATCAGTTGGGTTTTTAACTCTCTGTGGAGGGTGGGGGTGCCCTTGCCTACAGAGAATGGCTGCCCCGATCCCCTTCATCCAAGCTGAATGCGTGACCCATGGCACCTGCAGACTAGGACTGTTTGTCCCGTGCATTTAATATTTATGATCACAGTCAGGTTTTACCTAAGCAGGAGATCTCTAAATGAAGTTGGTCTTTTGCATAGTGTCACATTTTCACACTCCCTTTCTGCATGTTTTAAGTGATAGAAAGCTCAGCAGGTGCACAGCTCTTCTTAAAGCAGAACAAAAGTCAATGTTATTCCATGGTGGTGGTGTCAGAATTTCAGGCAGGCATGTTCTGTGCTGGTGGTCAAGATGCTGATGAGTGCTGCCGGGCAAGGACTGACAATTCAAGAACACCGACTGCCTCACTGTTTTCACACCAGGTTCCCTCCCTGAGAGTCTTTGGGGAACTGAGGAGTGGAAGACGTGGAGAGCTTTCATCTCATTCTCTAGAGCATTGATTGTTCTCAATCTGGGGATGCAGTGCAGTGTGCCCCCCCGCCCCTACCCCAGGGGACATGAGGCAGTATTTGTGGTCATAAGGATGCTGCTGGCATCTAGAGTGTGGAGGCCAGGGAAGCTGTTGACCATCCCACAACACACAGGACGGTCCACACAATGGAGTTATTGGACCCACATATCAATTGGCACTGAGGTTGAGAAGCCTGCTCTAGAGCTCTGCTGTGTGATTCAGTAGCCACCTGTCACTTGTGCTGTATATGTTAATGAAAACCAAGGGAAAGAATTCAGCTCCTCAGCTGTACCATGGGTGGCTTGTGACTGCTATGCTGGACAGAACACATAACAAGTATTTCCCTCATTACACAAATTTCCATTTGACTTCCCTGCTGTGGAGTCTGGAGCCTTTTTCCTTTGTAACTTCAAAATAACCCAGCAGAGAAAATACTTTGTTGATACTGCTATATCTCCAAAATGGCATTAAAATCACAGCTTTATCTGTGTGCCTAGAGTGTGCCTTATATCATTTAAAATGTAAATACCATTTAATACCATTTAATGCTATATTGTTAGGTTCTGAAAGCAGTGTCCACCTGTGTTCTCTCTGTTCTTTTCTGAAAATATAGTTGGGCAGATGACGGTCATGCCACCTATGAGCATTGCTATTTGGGAGGTTACTTATCATGCCTTGGATTAAATGTCAGTGCCCCAGCCATGTGTAATTGGTTAGTCTTGTTATGAAAATGTGGAATCCCAATTACCTATAAAACTTGTAAGGGGCAGGTGCTCAACATGGGTCATAATCCAGCTCTAAACTGAGTGTAGAAGACTGATTGTCAGACAAAAAAGTGTCCTGTCACATGAGCATTGGTCAGAGAAACTTGTCCTGACTTCTAATGACTTCCTTAGATTTTTTGAACATTTACTATACCACCGATGTTGTATCTCTCCCTCTGCATTTACCATGCACATGCATACAGGCTTCCTTTGCCTGCCCAGTAGCAGACATTTATTTCTCAATAAGTTTCAGCGTGCCAGGCATTAAGCTTGGCAGTAGGGATGCAGAGAAAGAGAAAATAGAACATTCAGGGACCTTACTCTTAAACCTTTTAAAATTATCTAAAGTTTTAGATTTTGTCCGGTTTGTTGTTTTTAAATTTCGAAATGGCAATGATGGTTGGTAGAAACTTCCATCCCTTTTGATGAAGGTTAAGAAGTTTGATTGCCCTCAGAAGCATTCTCAGGCAAGTTTTCTGTTTCTACATTTGAAGTGTGTGTGAGCAAAAGTGAACAGGGTACTCCTGGACAGTATTATTACCATCAGTGTTGGTGAATCTTCTGAGCAGAACGTGTGGACCCAGAACAGCAGGCAAGACTGCAGAGTACCCAAGTAGTGGCCATGTGAGTTGAGCCCTTGGACTGCCTGATGTTAGCTGCATCCTTTGGGCAGCTGGCCACTCACCTGAAGGAAAGCTGCCCAGGTTTTAAATGCGGGAGTCTTGATCATTTGTAAGAAGAGTGATAATTAGTGTTTAGAAATGACCAGGAATGAGTACCTTGTTGGAAAGTATATGCCAGCCTGTGGAAGATCTGCTTTGGCTGTTTAATTTTTCTCTGCTGCTCCTTCCTTTACTGGAAATCGCATTTCTCCACAAATGGGGGAAGATACAATTACAGGATGAGTTAAAAGTCAGTAACAGTTGACCATGGTTTCTACATGTGCATTGAAGTCAATGCAAAGCTTTTCATGTATGTTCTGGCTTAGGTAAGATGGCAGGATTTTCTTTTCTAAGTTCACATATCTAAACAGGATTTTCCTGTTAGACTTTTAAAAAGTGAATTCACGAGGAGATAAGAGGACTGTACACAAATGCCTCTGCCAAACACATAGGTTCTTACTGCTTCCCCATGAGAGACAGAAGAAAATACCAAATTGTTTCATCTTAGCCTGCACAGCACTCCCTCATGTTTAAATAGAGAAAGAGCCATTTTGTGTTCCTAGTTTCCAAATAAAGGCAAATAAATAAGATAATAAAGGCATTTTATTGAGAGCCCCATGGTATCCTTTGGGCTACAGAGTCAGTTTATAAAATGTTGTAGAAGTGATTTTTGGTTCATCATGCTAGAATCAAGTCCTGGGCTTCATTTGTGGGTATTTCAGCTTATTTACTTTTTTCCACACTTGTCCAGCAGATGGCTTCCTTTGTCCAAAATGACCTTTCAAAACCCTTTGAGAAACTCTTGATCTTGACACAGAGCCCTCATGTGCACAGCTCCCACCTCATAGACCAACAGGTGCATCAGAATACAACCAGCACTCAGGTGTCCTAGGCAAGGCACTGTGATGTTGTAGGGAAGGTTGCCTCCCCTTTACTCTCTCTTCTCATGGATGCTTTTGGTGCCTCCATGGCTCCTTTCACCCAAAACTTGCTTTTAAGAAAGGAATTCTGTGCTGTGTGAGTCACTAAGAATAACACAGAAGCAGTGAGTTCCCATTTACTGCAAAATGCTCATCACACTGGTCAGAAAGTCTTTGCCCCAGATGGCTTGCAGTGTTAGGAGGTAGGAGGCAGGTAGAGGGAGGCATGCAGTGTATAAGAGCACACAAATCTTCAGAGTGGGACCCGGAAGTGGAAGTGCTCAGTACTGCGTCCAAACTCAGCCACTCAGTTGAGGTCCTCCAGGGTCCCTAATAAGCAGTCAGGTATCAATAGATGTATACTGATGTGCTTTGAGTAGCCCTGACTATACTCATGGGAATTATGTGAACAATGCCTGGCCACTATAGATTCTCCTACAAAAGATAGTTTATTGAGTAGACTTGTTACAGTTTGCATTCGCATTGGAATAAAAGTTAATGAATATTAAACGGCAAGAAGTCACTCTCACAAACCTGTACGTATGTGGCTGACAGTTTGAATTGGACCTCTTAGGGCAACTTTCAACCTCCTTCCACCCTCTACTTTGTCCAGCACCTATGATCATGGAGGCTGCTTCCAGTTGGAAAATTGAGCAGGAGTCTTTGAATTGTGTTCCCTTGGGGGAGGAGACCCAGCTAGTCAGTCCTGGGTCAAAATTTGTGCCTTTCGAGATCTTAGAGTATGATTCCTTTCTTTCCAGAATCGAGCGAGTGATGGACAACAATACCACTGTGAAGATGGTGCCCATCAAGATTGTGCATTCAGAGAGCCAACCTGAGAAGGAGAGCCGCCAGAGCTTGGTACCCCCAGCTGAGCTGCCCACGCTGCCCAGTGGGCTGGAGAGAGACCAGATCAAGACTCTGAGCACATCGGAGCAATGCTATTCCCGCTTCTGCGTGTACACACGGCATGTTGCTGAGGTTGAGGCCCCACACAGAGCCCAATCACCCGAGCCCCAGGCACCCAGTGCCCCTGTGCCTCCTGTGAAGGACGAGTGTGCCTCTCCTCCTGGCCTTAGCTACATGAAGGCTAAGGAGAAGACAGTGGAAGACCTGAAGTCTGAGGAGCTGGCCAGGGAGATTGTGGGAAAGGATAAGTCCCTCGCTGATATACTGGATCCCAGTGTGAAGATAAAAACCACCATGGACCTGATGGAAGGAATCTTCCCCAAAGATGCACACCTCCTGGAGGAAGCTCAACAGCGGCGGAAACTGCTCCCCAAAATCCCCTCGCCCAGAACTACAGAAGAGAAGTGAGTAGATGCCCTGTTCCAGTCGTTGCCTGATTCTGTCTGGCATCTCTTACGCTGAAAAAGTGAGAAGGGCCATGTCTCTTTATTGATTTTCATGACTGCTTTCTTCGTGAGACAGATTTCATAGGGACTGCTGATGTTTAGACTTTTATGTGAGTATCCCAAAAGAGAAAGTAAGGGTTAGAGGCACCATCGCTGGCTGTAATGACTTTAGGGCCTGGCAAAGGAATGAAGATACAACATGTAGCAGCTAAGCTCCTTGGTTTTTGGCCAGCAGTATTAGGGTAATGACCACAGATCTCCTTTCCCCTAAGAGAGGGGTTTTCAGTGAGTGCCATTATCTGCATGAGTGTTTAGTTAGCAATGTCTGGTGACAGCTTTGGCTGTTGCACTGGAGAGGGACTGCTCCTGACATCTAGTGGAAATAGACCAGGGGTGCTGCTCATCCTACATGCCCTGGGTTCTATCGGTAGCACTGCAAAATAACAAAAATCAGATAAGACTACATTCCATAGGCTTTATGGGTATCCATTTGGTGAAGTTTTGTTTCTTTAAACCTTTTTTTGCCACTTTGGTTTTCTCATCTCCCTGATTGATGCCTTTCTGTTTGTGCCAGCTTTTATTTGTCACAACCCAGGGAGGAGGTCTAAGGTTGGAGGGGGTGTGTCTGTGCATATGGTCACAGCTAATTGAGGTTCTTTCTCTACCCAGGAAAGAGGAGCCAAGTGTGCCAGTGGTTGTGTCCCTGGCTACCAATTCCACCTACTACAGCACATCAGCCCCCAAGGCTGAGCTGCTGATCAAGATGAAGGATCTTCAGGAGCAGCAAGAGCCTGAGGAGTATGTAGGGGGTGACTTGGACCATGACCTGTCAGTGAAAAAGGTAGGAAGTGGAATTCCCAAATAGAATTGTATGTAGGACTGGGTGCAGTAGCTCTAACTCACAGCTACTCAGGAGGCTGTGGCAGGAGGATCACTTGAGAGCAGGAAGTCAAGACCAGCCTAGGTAACATGCAATGCCCCACCCAGTCAATCAGTCATTCAGTAAGTAAATAGATAAACAAATGAATAAAAAAAACAAAACAAAACGGGGCAAGTGGGAGGTGCTGGATCTATACATTTCTGCCCTAGAAGAGACCCAGCATCACATGTCAGAGGGCATTTCTGATTGGCTTTCATGTAAGACAAGGAACGTGGGGCATAATGAGTAAGCCCCTCATGTGTTGTAACCTTTCCATAAGGTTAAGATCCATTGTTAAGTTAGTTTAAAGTGAGTACCATTCTGTTTAATTTTAATGTTAAATCCAATAGCTGTATCTCTCCTACCTCAATTAAAATCCAAGGGACTTAATTGTGTGGTTTTCAGTGAATTACTGTCCTCTTTGAATATCAAGTTCAAATATACATAACGAGATGATTATAAATCCAAGAGTGGATCAGAAAGTAACTTGTCAGCCAGAATGCATTAACTCCCAAGATCCCATCCAGACACTTGAGGGTTGAGCAGTAGATGGAATGCAGGACAGAGCCTTCTCTATGGGTAAAGGAGCTGTGTTGTCATGCGAGAGATGACAGCCATCACAGACACATATACAACACAGGTTTTGAAAATGTAGCCTACCACCTGTTTTTGTCAATAAAGTTTTATTGAAATACACATCCATTCTTTTACATATGGAGTATGGTAGCTTCAGAGAATAGTGGCCAAGTTGAATATTTACAACAGTGACTGTATAACCTGCAAAGTCTAAAATATTTGCTTTCTGGCTCTTGATGGAAAAAGTTTGCCAACCCTTGATATACTACATCAGTAGTATGACAGAAAATGGTGAAGGGATAGAGACAGCCTGTGATTGCAGAGAGGGCTCTGATGAGGGCTTTAAGACGAGACCCAGAGTAACATTATTTACAAGTCCTGGAAATGTCTGATGTTCCTGGGAGGAGGACAAGTGGGAGCAAGGCAAAGGTTCTGTGGTGGGAGCCTGGTGGCACATTGGAAAAGCTTAGAAGATAGGGGCTAGAGCCGTGTGGACAGGGGAGGTAGGATTGGAGATGAGCTTAGAACAGGACTCAGGACAATTGTTGGTAACCATGACAGTTACCGTAGGGTCAAAGTTAGGCTTATAGTGCTGGCATCGTGACTTACTATATTAGCTTTAAATCTCCACATGTCAGCTGAGCAGACCTGTGACATTAGGATTGTTATTTGTTTTATACAGGAAGGACTTACACAGTATTGCCAAAGAAAGTCAGTTAGAGGGCAGCATGTGTTGTTTATTCCAAGGACTGTGAGTTTACCTAAATCATGAGTTCTGGGGAAGAAAAAGGAGCAGTCACCATTTTGTGTGTGTTTGTTGTGGGCCTAGCACCATGAAAAGAATTCTCATGGAAAGTACTGATGATTCATTGATTGATTGATTGAGACAAGGTCTCACTGTATAGCCCAGGCTGGACTCTTAACTCAAAATTCTCGCACCTTAGCCTTCAAGTGTTGTGTTCCATGTGTGCTCCACTATGCCCAGATTCTAACTTTTTTTTTTAAATGTGACCTTTGCAAATGATTATGATTAGTGATTTCAAAAACACCATTGATTGATTTTAATTAAAATAGAAATGTTACGGACTAGTGGAGTGGCTCAAATGGTAGAGCCTAGCAAGTGTGAGGTCCTGAGTTTAAGTCCCAGTATCCCTTGCTACCCTCCCCCCCAAATAAAGAAATGTTATGAAGTATCATGACCCACTTGTACATAAAATTGTTGGGCTGGGGGTGTGGCTCAGGTGGTGGAGCACCTGCCTAGCAAGCACAAGGCCCTGAGTTCAACCCCCAGTGCCGCCAAAACAACAAAAACTTTTTTTCATTCTAAAAAATAACTTGTTGGTCCAAGGAATTAAATAGGGAAATGGAAAGTGAAGGGTTAGTCTTGGGGCTTTTAGAGACTGTCTAGCTCAGGGTACCATCTGCTTTATTCTGCTCACATTTTCCTGTTTTTTTAAACTTTTTTTTCAGTCTTTCAGTTTTTTTCTCATAAAACAAGAAAGTCATGTAATCTGGACTCCTTTTTTTTTTTTGGCAGAACTAGGGCTACAATTTGGGGCATCTCACTTGCTAGGCAGATACTCTACCACTTGAGCCCTCTACCAGCCCAGGACCATTTAATTTAGCCCACACCCTAGATATAGAAAGCTGCCTTCGTTATAAGTGTACCTTGGTTTTTCATGGTATAATGCATTTTAGAAGTTCATGCTTTGGTAGCACCCAGCTTCATGTGTGTGTGTTGCTCTGTCCATCTGCTCTGGGAGGCACCAGTTGCTGATGCCATCTCACCAGAAGTGGCTGCTTCACAACTGAGGTGTAGCTAGATGGTAGAGTACTGACCCAGCATGAGTGAGGCCCTGAGTTCCATCCCCAGCACTTAAAAGAAAAAGGTTAAAACGGTAAGATTTATGTTATATATATATATTTGCCATAATTTTAACAAAGTCATTTATTTGCATTTTGGTCAAATTGAAGTCAGTAGATTCTATTAAAAGTCTGTTTTAGGACTATACCATTGGGCTACACCCACTGCCCTGTTTTATTTTAATATACTTTTGTGTATTTATTATATATGTAATTTTGCATGTTCATTTTATTTATTGAATGTAAATTATTTAACCAGGAGACCTTCTCCTTCTCTTAGTCTTATAAACCCTCCATTATTTGATGATGCATAAACTTCCATCCATTCTGACTGAATTGCACCCAGGCCAGAGTGCTGCAGCTGTCTCAGGGCTCCAGGTCTAGGCTAACGAATGTCTCCATGCCTCCCTGCTCCTGTACAGCAGGAGCTCATTGACAGCATCAGCCGCAAGCTGCAGGTCCTCCGGGAAGCCCGTGAGAGCCTGCTGGAGGACATCCAGGCCAACAATGCTCTCGGGGATGAGGTGGAGGCCATTGCAAAAGATGTCTGCAAGCCCAATGAGTTTGACAAGTTCCGGATGTTCATCGGGGACCTGGACAAAGTGGTGAACCTACTGCTGTCACTGTCAGGCCGCCTGGCTCGGGTGGAAAATGCCCTCAATAATTTGGATGACAGTCCTTCTCCTGGTGATCGGGTATCATTTCTGACAGGGAAATGGGATTGGGGATGGTTCTGCAGAAAGGCTGTTTAGGGGTGCTGGGAAAGTCAGTTCTTTTGTATGCAGCCTGTCTGCCTCCTGGTGCATGGGAGAAGCACCCTGCTCTCACTCTGTTTTTAGTGGAAGCAGAGAACATGCTAATGAGATACGGTGAGTTGAGCCGTGGGACTGAGGGCCTCCCAGATCCTCCAGAAGAACTGGTGCCTCTTTTTGACATCCTTGCAGACATTCCCGTTGATCACTGCTCATAATATCTTTCTGGAGTAGAGTCTTCTTTTTAACTCTAACCATGTGCACAAGTACTCCATGATAGATTGGATTTTAGTATTGTTGCTGCTCTGTTTTAGCATGAATGCATCTAGCAGTCTAGAAACAATCAGAGAGTTGTCTAACTTTTCTCCCATTCCTGCTATGTGACATTCTGGGAACATTTCTCAGTGAATCTACCTTTCAGTTTTGTTATGTGCAAAATAAGGGAAATAATATGGACCTTGCTAGCTTTACCTCATAGGTCAAATACCAGTAAAACATCTTGTTTTATTCTTTGCACAGGGTAGAACTTCAAAGTGATCTTTTATTATTAGTAAATCACATATTCCATTCCTACTCCCTTCCACCACCACCTCAGCAGCTTCCTAGCATTGTTGAGCTTGACTGATTTTAAACCTGAGACACATTTCTAGAACCGGTTAGTATCTGTTTCCCTTTCTATTGGAGTAAAGTGACCTGACCTGGCCTGACCTCTTTCCATGAAAATATATTTTTCTTTGTTCAACTCACACCTGAGGATCAGGAAGAGCCTCAGAGTTGGGCAGGATGATCTGAAAAGCTTGAGTGGGCATGGGCATCTCACAGAAGCACCACACCAACAGCACAGTTGGTAACCGTGCTATTTCTGTACATGGTTCCTAACAGTGATAATAGCTCCTCTTTGCTGACCTCTTTCTATGTCTGGCATTTGCAGCATGCTCCTTGTTGCCTCTGGTCTGCATCCCCTATGGCCATGCAAAGCAGCAGAATCACAGAGCAGCTGTCCTGGTGCTCAGCTACAACTCAGGACCTGTGCTGGGGCTGTAGCTCAGTGGGAGAGCACATGCTTATGCTCAGCATGTGTGGGGCCCTGGTTCAATCCCAGCACCAAAATGAAGAGAAAGACACTCAAGCCTAGTAAATTAATGCCTCATGGCCACCAGCCTACATCTGAAGACATTAAACACATTCATCTCTTCCTCTCTTAGTTTGTCTTAGAGGTGGTAAGAAGTGGTAAGGAAATTAGGTGTGTGCTCTGTGAGCAGAATGATGATGAGTGTTGTATATTGGGAACGGGGTTGTCTGTGTCTCCCGGAAAAGGACCCTATAGGAAATAAGGGATTCAGTCCCTCTGCTCCTCCACTCCTTCCTGTGCCCTTGTCTACAATACACTCCTTGAATCCTTCTGCCTGAGGGTTCACAAATCCTGCCCTGGCATTTCTTTATAATATTTCCCTTTTGCCAACTTTCCCATTAATAGAATTCCTCAGTCCTTGGCTTCTTTGGAGCATCTCAGAATTATGTACTTTGTGGTCCCCAATTTCAAGGCAGATGGCAGACAATGGGGCTCAGTTGAAGGGAAGAAACCTAGAGGGGTCCACTAGTGGCTCCCAAGATGGCTGGGCCTTGAGGAAGCTACCTGGACCACAAGGCACATGCTACCCATTTCCTAAGCATTTCTGTGCGGCTCCCATGGGATCTTAGGTGGCTTATTGTTTCCATTGACCATCTGATACACAACCATGTGACCAGCCCCGCAAAGCTGCCACACTTTCAAAGTTTGGTCTGAGCCGCTGCTTTAGTCCTGACCCTAAACACGCTTGTTTCTGTTTCTCCCTCCACAGCAGTCACTGCTGGAGAAGCAACGAGTCCTCACCCAGCAGCACGAGGATGCCAAGGAGCTCAAAGAGAACCTGGATCGGCGTGAGCGCATCGTGTTTGACATCCTGGCCACCTACCTCAGTGAGGAGAGCCTGGCCGACTATGAGCACTTTGTGAAGATGAAGTCCGCCCTCATCATCGAGCAGCGGGAGCTGGAGGACAAAATCCACCTCGGTGAAGAGCAGCTGAAGTGCTTGTTTGACAGCCTGCAGCCCGAGAGAGGCAAATGAGAGCCCCACTTGGCAAAGGGCTAGCATGGAGCCTTGGAGCCCTGGAGCTCTGCTCAGATGTGCAAGTGAAGACCCCAGCCAGTCTTTATCACCTGGAGGGAGATTCCTCCCAGAACAAAGTGGCTGGTAGAAAAGCAATAACGTCTGTGTTTGTCTGGCATGATTTAGTTAATTTTTTAGTTTCCTTTGGAATGCCAAGCAGTGATCCATCCAATGTGACTACATAGGACACCAGGCTCTGCCTCCTGGCCAGGTCCTCTGTGGCTGCCAAGGACTGGGCTGGTAGTACCTATAAACAGTCATTTTCTACCAAAGGGCCGCAGGTCCTCCCATGTTCAGAGGCCCAATATGTCCCCAAGGTGCATGAAAGGGGAGACCCTGCCGCACGTCTAGTCTCGTGATTCATCTGGGCACAGGCTGCTGTGTTTTATCTTTGCTTGTTCGACAGTATGAGATTTCGTAATCTCTCATTTAATGATGTTCTGTGATCCAGCAAAAATCATGTTGATGATGATGATGATGATGATGATAATTTATTAACACATGGGAAAGCTGAATAGTTTTCTAATGGTTAAAAGCCAACTGTGAAATGAACAGCCTACATGTTGAGTGCACTCATTCTAAGATTAAAATTGTCACTTAAGCCACACACATGCTTCACAACACTCAAACCACAATACAAACAGCTGTATTCTTCAGAGTTTAAACAATGTTTTCTGGCCAAGTAAAATTACTTGGTTAAAAGTGTTTCCATTAATAGTGTGTTTGTTTCCTGAGGTAGATGAAATATATTTTAAGTTACTTTCCCCAAGAATATTAACTTTATGTGTATGTGTGATCTATCATTGGTGATAATAGGCTACTTATCTCTTTTGGCCTCCAAGTTTGTTACCATCCCATGAGGGCTACATTCTATGTACCATAAGATCTCTTCCTCTGGTTTTTGGAGGTCCTAGGGACTATCTCTTGCCTAAACTTGGTCTTTTTCTTCCACAGTTTAAAGGTTCTGTGCCCTTTTTAACCGGTTGAAATAGCAAGATTCTAAAGAGATTCTTACTCATTAAACCAGCACTGTCATAATTAATGTCAATTTCCAATTGTCAAGTCACACACTGGTAGAAAATACTTGCAAATCTTGTCTCTAATAAAGGATTTGCATCCCGAGTGTATAAACACTCATAACCCAACAGTATTAAAAAGTGGGCACAAGACTTGCATAGACACTTCACCAAAGAGGATGTATACATGGCAAATAAGCACATGAAATATGTTTAGCACCGATGGCTTGGTTTTAGCTTACTTATTTTTATCTAATAACTGTGGATCTGGTGTAGTTCTTCAAAACATGTTCATTTAATTAAATGCATGGTTAATAGAGAGCAAGTCCCTCAAATGACTTGATGTTTGGTGAAATTAGAACTTTTGTTCTATCAGGGATCATCTTAATCCTCATTTGCCCTTAATCCCATAAAGAAGTTCCAGCTGGTGGGAAGATTTCCCTCTATCTGCAGTGACACAAAGCACACATGTACACATGACAAATGTGCACATGTGTATGCTGACACGCACACACAGATGTCTTAAAGCAGTGAAATCCATGCTTCCTGAGCCAGAGGCACTTGTGCAGATCTTCATGCCCTCCATACAGCCAAGTCCAAATGGCAAAACTTCAATGGTGCAGGCAATAAACTGCATTTTAGGCAACCAGCCAATGCCAATAGAATAAATGCCTTTGCAAGAGTGTTTATTCCTGGTAAATGAAGCTGTTTCTATTTTACAGAGTCACTGCTCTGCCCCTCAGCATCCTTCTCTTTCCCTCCTAGTCATCCCTTGCTGTGAATGTGGGTCACCTCAGAAAATGTGAAGCTGACTGTCCCCAGACATCCCAAGTAATTTGAGAGTATTTTGTTATTTAGACAATGCTTTCTAATCTGTGATTCTTTCCCCTCAAATACAGTATTGTGATTGCTTTAGTGATACGTGTGTAAAATGTGAATACTGAAATTTGTGTGTCTGTATCCAACCTTTTGGAGGCTTTTTAGGACTTCCTCTTATGCATAGCAATATAGTGCTCTAGAATGCTTTTAGCAAAGCACACATAATCATAACCTTCCTATCCGTCCCACTGTTTGCCTCTTCAATGACTGGTTAGCGTGGGCCCAAAGATTCCAGTGAGTCCGTGTACATAGCTATACATAGTTATATTATTGCATATATAAGCAATCTGGTGCTAATGGTTGGCCCTTGGCATTTGTAGGTCATGACTGATTCCTGGTCCTCTGTCATTGCACAGCCATGGAATGCTTCGTACATATACAAGCTTGCTTTTTTGTCAGGACTGTTGCTATGGCTTGTACCCTGCCATCCACTATGGCAAATGTGTACAGATTTTATGCTTGACACCACTTATCAACAGATACGCTGCTTGACTTTAACAATAAACAATGTATGTCTCTTTGAGTGAATGGAGCATGTCTTCTATTTACCTATATTACAGCTTTCTAAAAAATCAAATTATTGGGGTAGGGGGTGTGTGGCTCAGTTGTAGAGCATGTGGGTGCAAAGCCTTGAGTTCAGTACCTGATTTCACACGCCCCCTAAAAATTTGTCACCATGTGTCTGATTCTTAAACCATTTGAGTAAATTTTATTTGTGTTTGTAACTTGTCAGTCTAGTTAAGACCAGTCAATTTTCAGAATTGTGAGAGGCACTGCTCAGAAATAAGTCAGGGGTGTAGGTTGTACTGGTTAGTTTTTGCCCCAGTAATGCTACATAACATGAAATCTCATTGTGCAGGATAAAGTTCTTAACACATGAGTTTGTAGATCAGCAACTAATCTAGGCTGCACTCTTGTCATGTGCATCTCATCTTCCTGGTACCAGCAGTGTGGCCTTAGCATGATCTTCACAGAGTGCACAAGAGACCAGACCCAGTCATAAAGGTGCTTGTCATGGCTTTGTTATCATACCTGCTGACTTTCCATTGGCCAAAGTGAAAGGGGGTGGATCAGGCTGCACCTGTTCAGTGGAAGTAGCTGTTGAGACACATTGGAGAGTATGATACAGGGAAGTGTAAAGAATTGGGGCTGTTAGTGGGATCCATCTGCCATAACAAAGTCTGCTAATAGAGAGTGGCACTAAAACATTCAAAATTCCAGAGCCAATTTGCTGCAGGAGTGCCATCTCTCACCTACTAGTTGTTTGGCCAGCCACCTCTGTCACCTCCTAGTTTCATGGCCATGTGCAAATGACCTAGTGTCCGTGAGCCCACCATGTCCTTTATAATTAAAGATGAGCTGTTGTGACATGAACTAGTGTGTTAATGTTAGGCTGGAAGTCTTCCCTGGCTCAGAGAGTGCTGTCCAAGCTGTGAGTGCATTGTCCCCACTTATCCATGGGGGATACCTCATGTGCCTGTGTTGTTCTTCCCTCTTTGAATGATGACCAGCTGCCAATACAGAAAACTAGATAAGTATATTATGGGACAATAAAGAACAAATAAAATTGCTTTTCATCTCACAGCCAGATAGAGGCTCTAAATTAGTTTCCTATTGCTGCTGTAACAAATTGCTACAAACTTAAGCCAAATGTCCTCGTGCACTCTGATATCTCAGCCATTAAGGAGGCTGAGGCAGAAGGATCACAACTTTGAGGTCAACCTGGACTATATAGGGAGGCCTTGCTTGATAAAAAAGAAAAAATAAATACTGCTAAAAACAAAGTGGTTTAGAACAACATTGATTAATTGTTACCACTGCGAAGGTCAGAAGTCTAGAATCAATGTTACTGAGTTAAAGCCAAGGCTGAAAACTTCATTTCCTTGCCACTCCAGCTTCTAGGGGCTGCCCCTCTTCCAGCTACAGAGCCGCAGTTTAGCATCTTCAACCTCTCTCTGCCACTGCTTTTTTGCATCTCATTTGATCCTCAAATCCTCCTCCTCCTCTTCCAAGACCGCCTGCGATGTACTGGGCCCATGTAGATAATGCAGAGTCCTCTTCCCATCTCAGAATCCTTAGTTTATTCACATCTGCAGAGTCTCTATTGCAATGGAAGGCGACATATCCATTATTCCCTCCCCCTGTCCCTTCTTCCGTTTCTCTTTCCCTCATTCCTTCTTTCCTCACTCCTTTATCTCTCCAGACTTCTGCCCTTTTTCTGCCATTCTTCCTGTCCTCCTGTTCTCCCTCTCCCTGTCTCTCCCTCCTTCCCTGGTTCCTCCCTTCCTCCTTTCTGTCTTTTCCTGTCTCACTCTGCCTCCTAATCTCCTTCCTTCCACCTGTCCTCCTTTCTTCCTTTTCTCCTTCCTCTTTCCCTCCATCCCACCTTCCTACCTCCTTTCACCTTATGTACTTCTTTCCTCCTCCCCCTCCGTCTGTCCCCTTCCCTCCCCTCCCCTCCCTTTCCCCTTTTTCCTTTCCACCGTTCTTTCCTTCCCTCCTTCCCTCCTTCCCTCCCTCCTTCTTCCCTCCCACTTATCTATTGCCATACATCTGTCCCCGCTTTTTTAAGGAACAGGATTATACCAATGACACATTTTTGAAATTGCTTTTTGCTGAGTAGCATTGGAAATGTTCCCTAATTATAGTTCAACATAATGTTGACTTGAGGTGTAATGTCCTATTAAAAGGATATAAAATGGTTTCCTAAATATATTTTATAAATGTTTTTCAGAGTTTTTCACCTTCTATCTAAGGTACAATCTCACTGGGTATACTTTGTGCTTATATCTTTGTACACATCTCTGCTCATTTTCATTCCTTATCATGGAAATGTTGCAAGCATAGAATTCCACTGGGATTTTTTGGCTTCTATGTAACATGTGGTCCTAAGTACTACCTCATTGACATCCTTTGCCTTTGGCAGCTTGGTTTTTTGAAGGTGTCCCAATCTTAGCAGGTCAATTTCTCACAAGTTAGGGACCATTTCCTATGTTCCACTTTCTTACCCATGTGAACCATGTTCCCACAAGCCTATAATTCAAGGACCATTTAGAAGGAGGTCATTTTCCATTAATTAAACTGTATCTTTCCTAGGGGCTTAGTTGTCAGAGTGTTAAAATGCAGGAGGATGTCACTCTGCTAAAATCTGGGTTTATACATGGTCATTGCCTTTTCTAAAATGCCATTACCTCCTGAAATATGGAGTAGAAACCACTTCTGGTGATGGAGCAACAAAGAAAGTGACAGCAGACTGGTCTGAATTAGTCGGAGGGATCCTAAACATAGACTCCAGTAGTCAATAGGAAACACACCATACCCCACAAAGGCTGACAAAGAGGATACATGACAAAAAGGAAATTAAATAAATTGCCATGGTCAACCCTAAAATGGTGTTGCCATGACATTCATGAGCTACTAGTTGAGAGTTTGTAAGGCAAGGAACAGTGGGTAGTGGAACCTTCAGACAGAATAGAAGGGAGGAAGTGCAGGAACTGACAGTTGGGCCCATAACTGCCTGGACCACGAAGCTGGTGGTGAGGGACTGTGTCCACATCAGCAGTGCTGGCCAGTGAGCTGACTGTCCTGCCACGTCACTGGTTCTCTTGAAGACTGTACTGCTGGTTAGTGGAGACTCTGTTCTGTGTTGTGTTTTCTTCATATTGTGGTAAGATATACATAACAAAATTGACCCCTTCAACCAGTTCTAGGTGTACAGTTAAGCGGCACTAAGTATATTCATATTTTTGGGCAACCATCACCACCATCCATCCATAAGAATTTTCATCTTCCCCAACTTAAACACTGTCCCCATTATCATTGTTGCTACTATTTTGGCAGTGCTGGGTTTGAACTTAGGACCTCCTGCTTGCTAACCAGGCACTCTACCACTTGAGCCATGTCCCCAGGGCCTCTTATGCTTTAGTTATTTTTCAAGGGTCTTCTGTTTTTGCCCCGGTTGCCTCAGCCCACCATCTTCCCACATATTCCTGCCATGTTTCTGGGATTTACAAGGGAGTGCCACAATGCCTCGCTTGTTGTTGAGGGTCTTGCTAAGTTTTTGTCCAGGCATGCCTCAAACCATAATCCTCCCAATCTCTGCCTCCTAAGCAGCTGAAATTACAGGCATGGGCCACTATGCCCTGCCCTGCACACTTATTTCTATTAAATGCCGTCTCCCCATTCCTCCCTGATCTCAGCCCCTGGCAGTCACCATTCTACTTTCTGTTTCTGTGGATATAACTCCTCTAGGAACCTCATAAGTAGAATCACAGAATATTTGAGATTTTGTGACTGATTTGTTTCAATTAGTATCATGTCCTCAAGGTTCGCCCATGTTGCAGTTCATGTCAGAATTTCCTTCTTTTTTAAGGCTATGAGTTGAAATAACACTCTATTGTCTGTACAGATAAATGGTCCCTGACTTACCATCCTGTTACGGGTTGGATATGAAAAGTCCCTCCAAAAGGTTTGTGTATTAAAAGGTTGGTCCCTTCGGGCACTGGTGGCTCACACCTGTAATCCTAGCTACTCAGGAGACAGAGATCAAGAGGATCACAGTTCAAAGACAGCCCCTGGGCAAATTGTTCACAAGACCTTATCTTGAAAATATTCAACGCAGAATAAGGTCTGGCGGAGTGGCACAAGTGGTAGAGTGCCTGCCTAGCAAGTGTAAGACCCTGAGTTCAAACCCCAGCCCCCCCCACAAAAAGAGGAGGTTGGTCCTTAGCTTACTACACTACTTTGGGAGGTGATGGAAACTGTAGGAAGTGGGGCCTCGCTGGAGGAAGTGGTGCTCTGGGCATGTTTTTTGGGGGCTGTATCTTGTCCTGGACTTCTTTCTGTCTCTCTCCCTGCTGTCTGCCATGAGGTGAACAGCTCTGCCACACACTCCTGCCCTCATGATCTTCTGTCTCACCAGGTCCCCAAATCAATAGGACTAAGTGACCATGGACTAAAACCTCCGAGTCAACATAAAATAATTCCTCCTTTAAGGTGTTCTCTCAGGTATTTTGGTTTCAGCTAGGAAAGGCTAACTAACCAGATGGTTTGATTTATGCTGCTTCAACTCCGTCCTTCCAACTTTACGATGGTGTAGAAGTGACGATGCATCCGATAGAAACCGTACTTAGAATTTAGAGCTTCGAATTTGGATCTTCCCCAGGCTAGCTCTGTGTGGTGTGATCTGCACTCTCATGCTGCTTGGCAGTGGTATATTTTTAAAAGCAAGACCGAGAGCCATGCACTTACACGCATATACGTAGAGTGACATATGTAACTACATGCATGTTCGTGCATTCATTTGTATCTTTTCCCTACTCAATGTACTGTTATTAAAACATTTTTGAGGATTTCATGTTGACTAATATGGCACATCCTATGGAATTAGGACATTTCCTTGGGGACTGTAACTCATTCCAGGCCTCTTTCTGTCTGCTTGTCTGTCTTTCTGTCTCTTGGTAGGGTTGTTCACTTCTGTAATACCAGCACTTGGGAAGCTGAGGCAGGAGGTTTGTAAGTTGGGGAAAGCCTGGATTGTATAGTGAGTTTCAGGCCACCCTGGGCGATATAGGGAATCCCTGTCTCAAAAAGGAGGGCAGGGGCAAGATGGCAAATTAGAATATCCACCATTTTGACTCTGTGAATGGGGAGAGTCAGGTAACACAGGAGAGACTGTATTCTGAAGAGAGTAATAGAAGAGGGTCACCAAGAATCACAAAACAGGTAGTAGGACAGCAGAGAAGCAAGGAGGAACAGAGGCAAGAGAAAAGCAGCAAGCAGTTCCAAGACCCACCCATGACTGTCTAGGAGGGGGAAGGGAAGCTGAAGACACACTCACAAGGTAAGCCAGATGGCCCTTCTGACAGACTGGCAATCCTAGCCACAGGGTAATCCCACACCTCCAGCTAGCCTTAAACCCAGTGCAGAGATTTGGTGATACAATGACTGCTCTGGTGTGGAAGTCTAGCCTCAGATTAAAAAGACATTCTGTCCACCCCTCTCATCTCTGAGAGCTATAGCAAGATTGGAGAGGGCCTATTGTTTGCGACTGAGCTTTTCAGGGGACTTGAAAACAAAGAACAATCATGGCTGAGGGAGTCTTAAGACACCTGGCCACAGTTTCTGGGTTGTGTGGAGAGGGAGAGGGTCTGACGTGGACCCACGGAGAAATTCAAGCAGCAGGAAGTAAAAGGCACCATGATTGGAGGTCCAGCCCTCCCTGGCAAGGAGCCAGTCCCAACACTGGTGGGTCACAGTGGAAACAGAGCCTTAGCTTGTGGCTGGTAGAATAGTCACCCTTCAGAACCTGCCTCTGGCTGCATGTGTTTGCTGCTAGGTGGATCTGAGGGCCCTGAGCCCAGGCCTTCTGAATCATGTGACTTTCAATCCCCCTCCTCCGCCCCCAGGAAGGTCAGCTTCCTGGGGCAGGACCTGAAAGGACTAATGGTCTCCCTCTAGGAACTGCATACTTGGGTGTGTTTGCTGACAGGTGGGACCAAGGACCTCAAGTCTAGACACAGTGAATTAAGATTTCCACAGCCTCCCCTCTGGACAGGAACTGCTGGATGGCATCTCTCAGCTTTGACACTGATCAGAGTGCCAAGGTCTGTCATTTCGCCCTGTGCCAGCACAGAATTCAGTGCACTGTTTGCGGCCACTCTTTGAGTTAAATCTCCAAAGTAGACAGCTAGCTCTTACTGGCCTAAGCAGTTCAGACTTTCAAAAATAAGATAAAACTGCTCTGGAGGGGAAAGGTGGCTATTTTTGGATTTGTCTCCGGTTTGTTTGCTTGTGGCATTTATGTTCATTCTTTCTTGCTCTCTTTTTTGTTCTTTTGCAGACCAGTTTCTCTCCTCATAAGCACATGAAATTGAAGAGCTAGTCTCACACCAAACCTCCTCTAAGGAAACAGAGCTGACAGCACAGTAGATTTGATTACACAAGCAATGTAGGAGCACACAGAGGTCATTGCATCAGACACGACACCCCCATTCTAGTATTCAAATTTTCAACATATCTTCTCCTTCCCTCTTCTATCATCCGTCCTTATTCCTACTTCCTGTCCACAATTCTAGACATTCTCTCTCTCTTTATTTTTTCTTCTCTCTCTATTCCCCTATCCAAACCGTGTTTTATTGTTGTTACTTTTGGCAGGTTGTTGGATTACCACATCACATAATTTACCCCTCTTCCTTCTTGGTTTCTCACTACACCTTTAGCTGGGTCTTTTCATTCTCATTACCCACCTCTATTTATTTAGCCGCCTCCCCTTCCATCCTTATTGTACCATACATCTTGTGTGATGTATTAGAGTTCTCACTCTTACTTTCCTTCCATTACTACCCTATTAACTAATGTCTTCCTAGTTCTTGAAGTAGTAGGTATAAGAAGTCAACATACTGCATTCTAAACTTATTTGGCATAATGATTTTCTTTGTATGGCTACATCAACACCTTGATAAGCAAGTTTTAGCTTGTTTTCTAGTTTTGAGATTGCTTTTACCTTTTTGACAGAGCTTCTTTAGGAATGTGTGAAAAAGTTACCTAATTTCCAGTGAAAATTCTAAAAACAAGCTTATCCTGGAAGACCTCTGAATAAACTTTTGTTTTTATCCCATGTCTATTCTCCCCCAACTTCAGTAACTCTTCAATTTTTTGGTTCATTTTCAATTTTTTTGCAAATATAAAGACATGTGTTTAGCATGTATACAGTCACTTTCACAATGCTCTCATGTTATGTACATTGTTTGCCACCTTCCCTTTTTGTCAGGTGACATTCAATTCCTGCAGGACACTCTACATCGTGTATAGAGACCAATTAATTTTTAATTGATACATAACAATATGCATATTAATGTGGTACCATGTAATGCTATTATATATTATAGAACTGTATTGTGTAATGCTTAAATGAGGTAATCATTTCTGTCTCCTCTAACACTGACCATTTCTTATTGTAAAATCATTTCTTATGGTAAAACATTTTCTTTTATCATGTTAAAATGTACAGTATAGTTTTGTTACCTGTGGTCACCCTCCTGTGCAATTTCACAACAAGCTTCTTACTCTTGAAAGTAACTTACTGCCCATTGATCAAACTTTGCCTCATCTCTCCTTTCCACTACACATATTTCTTAATTATTTTGTCAGTGCTAGGATTTGAACTCAGGGCATACACTTGCTAGGCAATGGCTCTACGACTTTAGCCATGCCCCCAGTCCTTTCCTCACTGTTTTTGTAGCTGCTTATTCTTCCATCATATGAATGTACACTAGTTGGTTGAAGCAGTGATGCATGCATGAGTGTGTACATTATAACTGTGCTTTTACCATTATGTACTTTTGCCAGTTCATCCTTGGGATAGATTCCTATCACTGCTGACGAAACGGTTCATGAGTCTATGTGTATGTATATCTATCTATCTATCTATCTATCTATATACATATGCATATATTTTTTACCTGTACTGGGAATAGAACACAAGGCTTCAGGCTCTCGGGCCAAGCCTTCTACCATTTCAGGTGAGCCCCCAAACTTGTAATATTTTTAAATTTCTAATTCTGTTATTATCAGAATATTCCACTTTTTACCCCAATAAGCAATCTATGAAATGGTCTGCTCCTCACAAGCTTGTCAGAACAATACACTGTAAGACATCTGAATTGTGCTTCAATGCGAATGTCAGAAATGCTATCTCAGCATCCATTTTAATGTGTATTTCTTGTATTAGTGAAGTTGAGCATTTTTTCATAGCTTTAGACCAGTTTCCAGTATTATCTTTGTGATATTGTGTTACTCAGCTTCCTGTTGCTATAACAAAATACCCAACAAAAATCATCTAAGGCAAGAAAGATTTATTTTAGCTCAAGGTTTCAGTCCATGGCAGGCTGGCTCCATTGTTTTTAGGCCTGTGGCAAGGCAGGAACATCATGGCAGAAGGGCATGTGGAGAAAAGCTCCACACCTCGTGCCATCCAGGGAACAGACAGAGGAAGGACGTGGGAAAAGAGGTACCCTTCCAGTGAGTATTTGATGCAAACTATGTATATGCCTTGGTATGTGTCCATTACACAGAATTCCCCAACCAGCCCTGATAGTCATGGAAACTTACGCATGTTTGAGTTATTTCTGTTACTTCTGGCAATCACCACCATTTGTGTTTCTGAGAAGAGGTCCCTGAGATCATTGAGCCTTCCAGGGCATCAGCTTTAATCATTTCATGATCTTCATGAAATGGTCTAATGTTGTTGGATGGTTCCACAAAAGATATCATCTCAGGCCAACCTTACTTTGCATAAAGGGTCCTCATTATAATTCAGCATAATCTATGAAGCAGTTGGCATTTTTAGGTGAGACCGTCGGCATGTCACTTAGAATGTGAATCGTGACTCCTGCTTTATGTGATATCATCTCCCTGGTCACATCTCCATGTGTATGTAAAGAAGCATGTGATTAAATGTCTGTGGGGAAAATAAAAGGGTAACTTGTGGCATGGAACCTGAAGTGATGAGATTGCCAAGCCACCTAGTGTCTTTCCTTTTATAAATGAAACATTTCTTTGCTCTTGTAAAGCACCTGCCCTTTTTGCAGGTAAGTTTTACTATGGCAACATACAGACATAACATAAAATTTCCATCGTAACCCTTCTGAAGAGTATAGACCACTGGGAGGATGTACATTTAATTGTTTAAATCCATCTCTAGAACATTTTTATCATGCACAAGTGAAACTCTGTCCACACTCACCCCCAGACCCTCCTCTCCCCAGTCCCTGGAGACCACCATGCTACTCTGCCTGCGTGACTTTCACTCCTCTAGGTAGCTCATATATGTGGAATCATACAGTAGTTGTTCTGTTGTGACTGGTTCACTACACTTAGCATTATGTCTTCCGGGCTCATCCATTTGTAGCATTTGTCAGAATTTTCCGTCTTGCATGCATGTATAGACCGCTTTTGTGTATTCATTCATCAGTCTCTGGACATGCAGAATTGTTTCTACCTTTTGGGTATTGTGAAAAATGCCATGAACGTAGATGTACGGAGCACCCTGAATGCTCTTAGGTACATGCCTCAAGTGGAACTGCTGGGCCATGTGGTAATTGTGGGTTTAAGTATTTGAATAATCACTGCTGCACCCACTTTACTTTCCCACCAGCAGTGTACAAGCATTGCCATTTCTCCACATCCTCACTGACATTTGTATTTTTCCTTTTACATGAAACTATTGTCCTTTAAACCATCTTTATTCAAGTTGACATAAAGGTAACGAGGAGGCAAGTATTTTACAATTTCCATTACACTTGTGTCATTTATTTTCATTTTATATAGAGCAATGATGGCCATTGTAATTGACATGTGATAAGTCTGCTTGCTGACACGTTTTGATGGAGTAAGTCCATCCGAATAAAGAGACTCAGAGGCACTGAATCTAGCCATCAGGCACCTGAGACCTTCATTGCCCTTTGTACCTGTGTAACTCAGAACTTGAGCATGTAATTTAAGCTGTGTTCTGCTTCCTTATGCATAACATGGGGATCACAAGTGTATGCCTATCATTGGACTGTCCAGAGAACTGAATGTGACAATCTTACTGAAGTGTTTACAATGGGCTTGGCCTATGCAAAGTGTAGGGTAAGCATGTAATGGATATTTTATGAAAAACAGGAGATTTGTGACACTTTGTTCAAGCCCCAATCTCTACCTCACATTACTGCTTTTGCTGTAGGTGGTTCACCACATTCTGGGGACATTTCCGGGTTGGCTAGACGTTCCCCTTCCAGTACAACACTTCCTACTTCTTCAAGAACATTTGTGATCCTTCCATCATCGAAATGTGTGAACTCATACACATGATAGAAAGGTAAATAAAAAGAATATGTTATGAGAAACTTTTAAAATTTGGAGGGTTCTCTTGGAGCATCATTATCTGACTATTTCTAGCACACTGAAGGATTTGAATAGACGAAAGATCCAAAGAAGTTGGGTTCATGGGTTAAATGTGAAGTCTAAGTTTTTCTTTCTTTTTTTTTTGAGGTACTTGTTTTTGCACTTATGGCTTTGTGCTTGTAGCAGGTACTCTACCACTTAAGGCATGCCCCGAGCCTCTTATCTTTACTTATTTTTCAGAAAAGGTCTTACATTTTTACGTAGGGCTGGCCTTGGACCACGTTCCTCCTACCTATGTCTCCCTCATAGCTTGGATTACAGAAGCATGCCATCATGCTGGCTAATTTGTTGAGATAGGGCCTAATGAACTTTTTTGCCTGGGTTGGCCTCAAACTCTCTGATCGCTATCTCCTGAGTAGCTGGGATTATGGGCTGGCTCAAATGTAAGGTTTCCTTCACAGAACATATTTTATTCATGTAAAATACATCAGGATATTTTTTAAGTTGAACTGAACAGAAACCAATATCTAAAGGTGGAATTTTGAGTAAGTGATGAGTAAAATTGTGAATGGCCATGACTTTTCATGATGTTTCATGCACAGAGCTTTAAGGTCATGGTCACTCTGGTTTTAATTATGAAAGTATGTATAGGCTTCATTAAAAATATACAAATTTTAGAAAAATCTGTAAATAAGCATGAATGTCTCTCCAGGACCCCACTGATAGACACCCTTAGAATTACTCTTTTTGTGTGCAGCTCTTAGACATAAAATGTTCATATCTATTTTATAAAGAAAGAAAATCAGGAATGGTTTTCTTTTGAGATAAATGGGCATTCCGAATGTATTATTCATTTTGCTTTTTTTGGATTCTTCCTGAGTTCATATACATAACTCATTCTTGCTAATGGCCATTTTGTACACCACTACAATCTTGTAGAGACCATAATTTATTTGAGAATTCCTTTATTTATAGCCATTTAGGTTGTTTCTGATTTGTATCTATTACAAGTAGTGTTGAAACAAATCTCTTTTCAGGTAATTTTGCAAACTTTTACGTTATTATTAATTCCAAGATTGGGAGTTGCTAGACAAGAAGTGATGTTTCAACTTTTGAAAGATACTGCCAAATTGTCCTCCAAAACATCTTATAAAAATGTGCATGTGTGTGCATGCGTGCGTGTGTGATGCTGGGGACAGACCTGAGAACCCATGCGAGGCCAGCTCTCTGCCTGTGAGCTACCTCCTCAGCGCGTCTTTCCAATGGGTACTTCTGCCATATTCCTGGCTTTCTGGGCTTCTTTTATTCTTATCTGAAATACTTAGGGCAAGGGTAGGTATGTAGAAAGCTTACATATAGCTTTCAGACAAAAAGGGCTACATGTAAATACTTCCCACTCTACAACCCATGACACATGCGCTCTGCTCTCCACCCCTCCCCGCTTCTCTGCTGTTCCTGACCTGATTGATGCCTCCTGAACATCGTCTTCAGCTTTCCTGAGTTGAAGAACTGGAACTACAAACTGGCTGGTGTGGTTTGCAGTTTTATTGCGTGGTTCTTGGGTATAGTCCTAGCCAATAGCAGATTCTGGCGTGTGTGGGAATTTGAGAGCAATACTGTCCACTTCGTATATATTGGATTTTGGGAAGCTTATTATAATCTAAAGGTTAACATCTCAGGTTCAGTATTTGAGTGGACAGTACACACCACGATCAGCATGAGCTGGACCGTTCCTCCTGACCTGCACTATGGGAAAGACCTGCTACTCTTGGCTAATTTTATGAAGTTGGTAGTCCTGATTTTCAGCAAGGAGGCATATTTCATCAGCTGGGTCAATGGCCCGTACCCAAATTTCCGGCGATTTTGTTACAATATGTCCATCTTCTTTCTTGTCCTCAGCAGTGCTTGTACAATGGGTGCCGTGATCTGGAACTATGCTGTGGACTTTTATGGCCAAACCACCCTTGACTTTCCAGGTACCTTTCCAGTTACAAAAGAAGCCCTAATAAAGAAACACCTCTCCCATGTGTTCCCACTAGGGATGCTAACGGCCACCTTCTCACTGATTAGTGCTGTCATGTTCATGTCTGAGATATACGCAATGAAACGGGAACCGAGTGAAGCCCGTGGTTTTGGCCAAATATGTCTCCCAAAAGGACTGAGCTCAGGGCTTCTGTGTTTCCAAAGTACGTTGATCATTTTCTTGAATAAATTTTCAACGTGCTCACAATTCTGTTGTATTCCTCTACTGACTTAAACGAAAGCACGGATTCGATGTCGCACAGACTGTCTAAAGCTTACGTCCTCACCTACTCTGTCAGTTCATTCCTTGTTTTGAAGGCTTTCACTTCCTGAAATCTGAGGGCGAACCTCGCTTCACATACTGGCAAAAATCAAAGGAAGGAGAAAGCACAGGTACAATGCAAGCGTGCACCAATGAACACAACTGACTCCCAGCTAGGGAACGTTTACAAATAAGCTTACATGTACACATGAGAAAATAACCATGTCTAGCGTTTAGTGATCGCAAAGACCTAGCTGGTGAGCTGAGCAGGGTTTCTCGACCCTGGCACTGTTGACACTTTGAGTTGAGACCTTTCGGGGAAGCTGTCATGGAGGATGATTTGTAGACTCTGCATGCTCTCCCCACTAAATGCTAGTAACACTCTCCCCAGTTGTGAAAACCAAACATGTCCAAACATCTCCAAATATCTTCTGATGGGCAACGGGACCCATAGAAGACCATTGTGCTGCATGTAGGGGATGATCCATGCTAGTGAGCTATTGTATGTAGAAAAGATTTTAAAGAAAATCGCTAACCAAATAAAAGTGCACAGTCTCAGGGCAGCATGTCAGCTACTCGGGAGATCTATTGGTCATCCCTTCTCTTTCTCTTCTAGGAGTGGCTTCGCAATTTCAATGTAAATGTACAACGTGATCCACAAGGTATCAGAGGCTATGGTAGGTTGCCATAGCTGGGTATGAAAGAGATGGTAGGCGTCCCCCCACCCTTGGGGACAGCTGCTGAGCATTGTTAGAGCGACGTTAAATACTCTTAAAGCACTGTTGCAGATGAGTCTTTGCTGCAAGCACCCTTTTGAGAGTTTATTTATCCTTTAATGCACTGAGATGTTACAGGCTAGGGAAGGCTGATTCCTTAATTGACAGTTGTTAAGACCCTTCCCCAAGATCCTGGCTGCCTTGAGTGAAGGCCTGCCAGCCAGGCAGGCACACTGTCTTATGCCAGCACCAACCACATTGAGCCCAAAGCACAACTGTACTTCCAGAAGGCACTGCCCCATTCAGCAGCTTGCACCAGACTTTTGCCATCACAGCAGCAACTTCACCCAGGCCAGAGGGGGAGCACTTCCTTCCCCTCATGGTCCTGCGATTGCTGACAGGGACTGTGCTGTGACTGATGCAAACACAGTGGTTCATTTGCATTAGGGGTGTGCCGTGATCAGTGTTGACACCTCCTTATTACTTTCTTTTGCCTGTGCATGCAGGCTGCTCAGCTCACTTTGTGACCAGCCAGAAGACACCATCCTGTGCTGCTCCCTG